TATAATAGTTTCATTTTCTCACCATTCCCTACCATTACATGAATATTCTATTAATGATGGACATTTGAGCTGTTTCTAGTTTTCTGCTTTTACAATGTTGCTATGAACTTAATGGTACTTGTCCCAGGTACAAACTCTTGCCCATCTTCTAGAGTTTTCCTAGGGCATATACCTTACTAGATATTGCTAATGTTGCTCTCTAAAGTGAAGTTCTAGTTGATAATCCACTGTCCATGTAAGTATATGAGAGTTTTCCTTATTCTACAGCCTCACCAAAATGGTGGGTATAAAATGTTATTCCACTCAAGTTTTAATTTGCATTTCCACAGCTACTAAAGAGGTTGAATACCTTTGCGTGTCTGCAAGACATTTGTATTTCTTCTTCAATGAATTTCCAATCCACCGTCTTATTATTACTGGTTAGTAAAATACTCTTCATATATCCTGAGGATATATGAAGGATTCATTATTAATCCTTTTTAGTTATCTTTCTGTAAATATTTTCTCCCAGATGATGGGGTATCTTTCTATCTCATAGTGAATTTCAATAACTGTACCCTTTTTAATTTTAATCTAGACATATTTATCAATCTTTTTCTTTTACAGTTCAAATTTCAAGACTTGTTGAAGAAATCCCTTCTACCTTCCCTACTCTAATATCATAAAAACAATTCTCCCATTTTCTGCTAAATGTTTTACTTTTCACATTAACATCTTTAATCATTAGGGACATTTTTTTTAACATGGTAAGTAGAAATCTCATTTTATTTTCCATATAAATAACCAACTGTTCCATTACCATTTATTGTTTAGTCAGTCCATCATCTCCTTACTCATCTTCAACACTCACTGTCATGTATTAAGTTTCTTCATATTCAGGGGTTCTGCTTCTGGGTCTTTATTCTGCCCAGATGTTGGTCTATCCTGTGCCAATACCACACTGCCTTAGATATTAATAACATGGCTTTATAAATAATGCTAAGTGAAAGACTAAGTTCTCCTTCCTAATTTTTCTTGGCAGTTTACTCTCCTATATAAATTTTAGAGCTTGTCAAGTTATATGAAATACCCTGTAATTATATTTAACAGAAGTATATTGAACTTTTAATCTGGAAAGAATTGACATGTTTATGTCACTGGATCTTCCTATCAGTTAATATGGTATCCCATTTAGATATTTTCTCATGTATTTTAATGAAATTGTGTAATATTCACCATAAAAAGGTCATGTGCATCTGGTACTTTTCAATTATTGTCATTGTAGCTGCTGCTGCTATAATGAATATCTTTCTTAAATATATTTTGTAAGCCAGGATCTGTGGCTCATGCATGTAATCCCAGCACTTTGGGAAGCCAAGGCAGGTGGTACACTTGAGGCCAGGAGTTCAAGATCAGCCTCGCCAACATGGTGAAACCCTGTCTCTACTAACAATACAAAAATTAGCTGAGCATGGTGGCACACGTGTAATCCCAGCTGCTCAGGTGGCCGAGGCATGAGAATCGCTTGAACCTGGAAGGCAGAGGCTGCAGCAAGCTGAGACTGCACCACTGGACTCCAGCCTGGGCAACAGAGCAAGATTCTGTCTCAAAAAGAAAAAAAAATTTATAAAAACAACCCAAGTGGGCCGGGCATGGTGAATCATGCCTGTAATCCCAACACTTCGGGAGGCTGAGGCGGGTAGATCACAAAGTCAAGAGACAGAGAGCTTCCTGGCCAACACGGTAAAACCCAGTCTCTTCTAAAAATACAAAAAATATTAGCTAAGCGTGGTGGCACACACGTGTAGTCCCAGCTATTTGGGAGGCTAAGGCAGCGGTGAGCTGAGATTACACCACTGCACTCCAGCTGGCAACAGAATGAGACTCCGTCTCAAAAAACAAAACAAAACAAAAACCCAACAGTTTACCAACAGATGACTGAATAAACAAAATGTGGTCTATATGTGCAATATTATTCAGTCATGAAAACGAGTAACATTCTGATATATGCTGCAATATAGATGAACACCAACATTATGCTAAATGAGATAAGAAGACACAAAAGGACAAATATTGTATGATTCCATTTATATGAAATACCTAGAATAGACAAATACATAAAGAAAGTTGAATAGAATTTACCAGGAGCTGAGAGTTAGGAGAGAGTGAGGGAATTATTGCTTAATGGTTATAGGGTTTCTATTTGGAAGATGATTATAGCTGCACAACATTGTATATGTAACTAATGCCACTGAATTGTACACTTAAAACAGTTAAAATGGGCTGGATGAGGCGGCTCACATCTGTAATCCCAACACTTTGGGAGGCCAAGGCAGGTGGATCACGAGGTCAGGAGATAGAGACCATCCTGGCTAACACAGTGAAACCCCGTCTCCACTAAAAAAAAATACAAAAAATTAGTCAGGAGTGGTGGCACACGCCTGTAGTCCTAGCTACTTGGGAGGCTGAAGCAGAAGAATTGCTTGAACCTGGGAGATGGAGATTGCAGTGATTCAAGATCACGCCACTACACTCCAGCCTGGGCAACAGAGCAAGACTCCGTCTCAAAAAAAAAAAAAAAACGAAAACAGTTCAAATGAAAAATTTCGTCATACATATTTTATAATTTTTAAAAATTAACAACGTAAGGCATCAAAACATTGAATTATATACTTAAAATTGGTGACTTGTATGGTATGTGAATTATATCTCAATAAAGCTTTTTTTAAAATTACAATTGTTATATGCTACTTGTATAAAGGAATGTAACTGTATAGTGGTCTTTGATCCAACCACCTTATTTCATATATATCAGCAAATTAGCTTTTTACACAGTGTTCACCCATTAAATACATATGAGAATGTTTCTTCTTTTTATTGATTCAGGAATAATTCATCTATAACGTTTGCCTACAAATGTTTGGTAGAACTCACTCATAAATCTATATGGACCTGATTAAGATGGCTGCTAAAAGAAAAAAGAAAGAAAAGAAAATGGCAAGTGTTGACAAGGAAGTGTGGTAACTGGAACCCTTGAGCACTGTTGGTAAGATTGTAAAATGGTGCAACTGCTATGGAAAATAATATGGAGGTTCCTCAAAAAAAAAAAAGCAAACATGATCTAGCAATCCTTCTTCTGGGTATATATCTTAAAAAAAAAATGAAAGCAGAGTCTCAAAGAGACATTATACTAGCAGAACCATGTTCACAGTAGCACTATTCACATTAGCTAAGAGGTTTAAGCAATCCAATGTCTATCAAACAGATTAGTGGATAAACAAAATGTGGTATATACATAAATGGAATATTATTCAGCCTTAAAAAGGAAGAAAATCATTTCATATGCTAAAACGTATCTGACTCTTGAAGATATTAAGTAAAATAAGCCAAAGACAAATATTACTTACTTATACTAAGTATCTAATCTAGACAAAATCATAGAAACAAAATAAAAGTTGGTTATCAGAGATTGGGGGATAGGGGAAAAGACCAGACACTGTTTAATGGGTACAGGGTTTCAGATTTCCAAGATGAGATCTGGAGATGTGCTTCAAAACAACATTAATATGCTTAATACCACTCAACAATACACTTGAAAATGGTTACGATGGGCCAAGTGTGGTGGCTCACCCCTGTAATACTAGCACTTTGGGAAGCCAAGACAGGCAGACTCCCTGAGGTCAGGAGGAGTTTGAGACCAGCCTGGGCAACATGGTGAAACCCCATCTTTACTAAAATACAAAAATCAGCTAGGCATGGTGCGGGCGCCTGTAATCCCAGCTACTCAGGAGGCTGAGGCACGAGAATTGCTTGAACCCGGAAGGCGGAAGTTGCAATAAGCCGAGACGTGCCACTGCACTCCAGGCTGGGCAACAAAGCAAAACTCTCTGTCCAAAAAAAAAAATGCCGGGAGTGGTGGTTGACTCAACTGAGATCAGGAGTTCAAAACCAGCCTGGCCAACATGGTAAAACCTCATCTCTACTAAAAATACAAAAAATTAGCCAGGCATGGTGGCTGACGCCTGTAATCCCAGCTACTCAGGAGGCTGAGACAGGAAAATCACTTGAACATGGGAGGCAAAGGTTGCAGTGAGCCAAGATCGCTACATTGCACTCCAGCCTGGGCAAAAAGAACAAAACTCCATAACAAAAAAAAAAAAAAAAAAAGATGATATATGTTATATTATGTGAAGGTCTTTTTTGTTGTTTATTTTGAGAGGGAGTCTCGCTCTTTTGCCCAAGCTGGTAGTAAAGTGGTGTGATCTCAGCTCACTGCAACCTTTGCCCCCTGGGTTCAAGCGATTCTCCTGCCTCAGCCTCTCAAGTAGCAGGAATTACAGGTGCCCACCACCACACCTGGCTAATTTTTGTATTTTTAGTAGAGACAGGGTTTCACCATGTTGGCCAGGATGGTCTTAAACTCCTGACTTCAGGTGATGCAACCTCCTCGGACTCCCAAAGTGCTGAGATTACAGGCATGAGCCACCATGCCCAGCTGTGAAGGTTTTTTTTAATCACAATGATTTAAAAAAAAAAAAAAAAAAAAAGGAAATTGTATGGACCTAGAATTGTTTTGGTCAATTTTTTAAATTACTAATTAAATTTCTTTTATGGTATAAAGATTTCCAATTTCTTTTCAAGTCAGTTTTGGTAAGTTTTTCTTAGTTATTTTTAAAAAGTGCTTCCCCTATTACAGCTATGTTTTCATAGCTCATTAAATTGTCTAATATTTAATTCTGTGTAGTTACCAGGTAAATCCTATAAGAAAGCATCAAGTACTCATGTGAAGTCATAATTCATTAAATATCTATGAATGAGACAGATTACAATGATGGGAATTTGCACCAAAGAAGCAGGTGCATTGCCACAGTTCTTTTTTTTTTTTTTTAAGCATGGGGTTTCACCATGTTGGTCAGGCTGGTCTTGGAACTCCCGACCTCAGGTGATCCGCCCACCTTGAATTACAAGCGTGAGCCACCACACCCAGCCTGCATTGCCACAGTTCTCTGTTCACCTTCTCAATGTTTCCCTCAGTCAAAAATGCACTAATGGCCGGGCGCAGTGGCGCACACCTGTAAGCAATCCTAACACTTTGGGAGGCTGAGGCAAGGCGGATCATTTGAGGTCAGGAGTTCAAGATCAGCCTGACCAACATGATGAAACCCCATTGCTACTAAAAATCACAAAAAAATTAGTCAGGCATGGTGGCAAGCGCCATAATCCAGCTAGTTGGGAAGCTAAGACAGGAGAATCACTTGAACCCAGGATGTGGAGGTTGAAATAAGTCAAGATTGCATCACCACACTCCAACCTGGGCGACAGAGTAAGACTCCGTCTCAAAACAAAACAAAACAAACAAAAAAAACCACACACACTAAGTCATCTCCAAGTTCAAAGCATTAAGCGAACAATGGCAAGGCAGAGCCACCAGAAATGTATTCCTGATTTTCATGACAAATATGGTAATGCTGTATTAGCTAACGGAGCCACTTTCTGTATTGCTGTATGGATATATGTAGCAATACAAATCGGAATAGAATGGAACCTGTGCCCTACTGGGAGACTCACTCTAAAGGAAAGGAGAGATCAGAAATCATCCCAGTTGGCCAGGCACGGTGGCTCAAGCCTGTAATCCCAGCACTTTGGGAGGCCAAGGCGGGTGGATCACAAGGTCAAGAGATCAAGACCATCCTGGTCAACATGGTGAAACCCCGTCTCTACTAAAAATACAAAAAATTAGCTGGGCATGGTGGCACGTGCCTGTAATCCCAGTTACTCGGGAGGCTGAGGCAGGAGAATTGCCTGAACCCAGGAGGCGGAAGTTGCGGTGAGCCAAGATCACGCCATTGCACTCCAGCCTGGGAAACAAGAGCGAAACTCCATCTCAAAAAAAAAAAAAAAAGAAAAGAAATCATCCCAGTTGGTGTAATACTGTATTGTTTAAAAAACAGGTCATCAGTTAGACACAGTGGCTCATGCCTGTAATCCTAGCACTTTGGGAGGCTGAGGTGGGTAAATCACCTGAGGTCAGAAGTTCAAGACCAGCCTAGCCTGGCCAACACAGCAAAACCATGTCTCTACTAAATACACAAAAATTACTCAGGTATGGTGGCAGGCACCTATAATCCCAACTACTCAGGAGGCTGAGGCAGGAGAATCACTTGAACTAAGGGGGTTGGGGAGGTGACAGCAGAGGTTGCAATGAGTTCACTCCTGCCTGGGCGAAAGAGCAAAACTCCATCTCAAAAAAATTTTTTTAATGAATAGAATAAATAAAATAAAATAAAAAACAGCCCATAATTGATGCCAAGTGAAAGCACTGTTAATTGATGCCAAGTGACGCCCATTAAGATAAGGCATCATTGAAGAAGTAAGGTATATTTGAAACCTTCAAAAAAAAAAAAGATTACAATGATGACTACTTCTTGTGGCAATTAATTTACACATGGCAATTATAGGCATCTCAAATATAAAAACTGATGAATAATAAATCCACATACAGTATTCCCTATTTTAACCTTGAGTACAGTACAATCATTTATTTATTGAGACACAATCTTGCTCTGTTGCCCAGGCTGGAGTACAGTTATATGACTATGGAGCACTGCAGCCTTGACCTCTCAGGTTCAGGTGATCCTCTCACCTCAGCCTCCCTAGTAGCTGGAACTACAGGTGCATGCCACCACACCCAGCTAATTTTTTTTTAATTTTTTTTTTTTTGTATTGTTGTAGAGATAGGGTTTTGCTATGTTGCCCAGGCTGGTCTCAAACTCCTGGGCTCAAGTGACAGACCCACCTCGGCCTTCCAAAATTCTGGGATTACAGGTATAAGCCACCATACTCAGCCTCAATCATTAAATCCTTTCTGATATATTCTTGATGATTCTCTCCCTGCCCCCCACAAAAATTTAAATCTTTGGTTTCAGTGGCTTTTAGTTGTTGTTTCAAATTATTTTTCTTCCACTAACCATAGTAAAAATAATAATCACATATAAATGACTTAGGAGAAAAGTAACTTTAGATAATAAATGGACAGAAAGATATACTGATATTTATACTTAAAATACATTTTAGAAGGCCTATCAAGAAGTTCATAACTCAATTTACAAAGTTAGTTGGAAGCCATATTTCTTCCATTCCTTTGCTGTTACTTGAAGTGATATTTCTTCCATTCCTTCCAAAGCAGTCTTATTTAATGATACCCCAGGGATAAGCAAATAATGTCAAGTCCCTTATGATATCCACAGATTGACTGCCTTATTATTATTATTATTATTATTATTATTATTATTATTATTTTGAGATAGAGTTTTGTTCTTGTTTCCCAGGATGGAGTGCAATGGTGCAATCTCAGCTCGCTGCAACCTCTGCCTCCTGGGTTCAAGCAATTCTCCTGCCTCAGCCTCCCAAGTAACTGGGATTATTACAGTAATACACCACCACACCCGGCTAATTTTGTATGTTTTAGTAGAGACGGGGTTTCACCATGTTGGTCAGGCTGGTCTTGAACATCCTGACCTCAGATGATCCACCCATCTCAGTCTCCCAAAGTACTGGGATTACAGGCGTGAGCCACCTTGCCCAGCCACCTTCGTCTTTGAATAAAAAATAAGCAGCTCATACCTGTAATCCCAACACTTTGGGAGGCTGAGGCAGGTGGATCACTTGAAGTCAGGGGTTCTAGACCATCCTGGCCAATATGGTGAAACCCTACTAAAAATACAGAAATAAACCAGGCATGGTAGCAGGCACCTATAATACCAGCTACTTGGGAGGCTGAGGCATAACTGCTTGAACCTGGGAGATTGCAGTAAGCCCAGATTGCACCACTGAGATCATGCCACTGCACTCCAGCCTGGGTGACAGAGTGAGACTCTGTCTCAAAAAAAGAAAAAAAAAAAGGGGTGGGTGCAGTGGTTCACTCCTATAGTCCCGGCACTTTGGGAGGCTGAGGTGGGCAGATCACAAGGTCAGATGTTCGAGACCAGCTTGGTCAACATGGTTAAACCCAGTCTCTACTAAAAATACACACAAAAAAATTAGCTGGGCGTGGTGGCATGCGCCTGTAGTCCCAGCTACTTGGGAGGCTGAGGCAGGAGAAACACTTGAACCCAGGAGGCGGAGGCTGCAGTGAGCAGAGATCGCGCCACTGCACTCCAGCCTGGGCGACAGAGTGAGACACTGTCTCAAAAAAAAAAAAAAAAAAAAAATGCAAAACTAACATTTTTCTTTTAACTAAGCAAAGGTTCCAGATACATGATACCAGACTATTACAGAGAACTAGTTTTGTTTTTTTTTTTAATATGGAAAGGAATAAATCAGAGAGACCAAAAAGACTATCCCACCTATCCTTCATAGTCGAAGTTCAAATATGACTTATCTCCAAAGTCTTTCTTCAACTCTAGCCTACAACATCTTTCTTTTGAACTTCTCTAGCACTTGGTATCACCTTTGCAACTTGCAAAGTTAGTTAGAATCCACTATTTAGATAACTTATACTTAGTTATCTATTGCTTATATTGTTATTCTCCTATGAGTCTGCTTTTTTAACTAAAAAAAAGAGCAATATGTGAGAAAAATATTAATACTACATAATAAAACAATGCCTGTTACAGTAACTGTTCCATAAATTTTAACAATTCTCTTTGTCATTTACCAAATTTGTGACCCTGAACAAGTCACCCTTACTAAATCTCATTTTCTTCACCCATAAAGAAGAGCTAATAATCCCTGTCAAATAATTGTCTACATGTGAATAGGTGTGACCAACGTAATGGTTTTGTATCTTTCCATCATTATGCGTAAAATAATCTCTTGAATATTACAGTTATTACTAACCCTTTGTACACTATATAGCACTTTTATTACCTTAAGGTTACAAAATAAACACTTTTATAAACTCATCATAAACATAAATGTTAATAGCAGAAACATAGTTTTTTATATGAATGTATCATCATTTGCTTAATTATTCCCTTAATGTTGAATATCACCCACTCTCTTGCCAGGATACACCCAGCTCCCTATTGTTCTTTTGCCACAGTAGCCGGTAAATCTCTCAACCAGGGGGAATCAATCCAACCACCTGCTTCCTCTATTCCCATACCACAGCTTCTGAGTCCTGCTGAAGAAAATCATAACAAGTTAGAAATTCATGCCATTACAAATTTACAGTCTCTAATCCTGAGATTATTATCCTGTCGGTAATTTATCCATGTACCTCTGATCAGTGACCTTCTCCATCCCACACAGTAATCAATGGGTACTCTAAATCTGAAGCCCAACACTCTATACATCTCTTCTCTCACAATTGCCCTTTAACAGAAAAAATAAATCTGATCTCACCCAATTTTCCAGCCTACATTCTTTTTCAAACCCATATTCTTCATTCTAAGTGTTAGGCAAAGATTTATCTCCTCCTTCCTTGAGCTAGTACAGTAATCCCTTCTCACCTCTACACCCACCACCTTCCTGTTCCATCAAATCATACAGCCCTAAATATTCAGTCTTAACTCTATTCTACTACACAAAATATAACACACGCTTAACTCTTTCACCTTTAAAAAAATTATGTTTCTCAGCTCTACTTCTCTAGCTATCTCGTTTTTGCTTCACAGCAAGTTTTCTAAGAATGGTCTGTATTTGCAGTCTGTTTTCTCACCTCCCCTTTGCTCTTTTGTCTATTGCAATTTGGCTTCTACCCCAACTACTAAATAAATACATATCTTGTTAAGGTTGTGTCAATAGCAAAGTCTAGCAGAAGCTTTTGTATCATTATTTCACTTAATCACTTTAGAGTTCACACTGTTAGCCATCTTTTCCTTCTTGAAAAACCCTCTCCTTGGGCTTACCAGAGACCAATCTCCTGGATTTTTTTTTTTCTATTTTTTTCTTTTCTTATTTTTGAGATGAAGTCTCCCTCTATTGCCCAGGCTGGAGTGCAGTGGCTCGACCTCGGCTCACTGCAACCTCCGCCTCCTGGGTTCAAGCAATTCTCCTGCCTCAGCCTCCTGAGTAGCTGGGATCTCAAGCGTGCACCACCACACCCAGCTAGTTTTTTTTGTATTTTTAGTAGAGACAGGGTTTCACCAAATTGGCCAGGCTCATTTTGAACTTCTGACCTCATGATCTTCCTGCCTAGGCCTCCCAAAGTGTTGGGATTATAGGCATGAGTCACTGTTCCTGGCCAATCTCCTGGTTCTTTTCCTCCCTTCTCTTGTTTCTTTTGAATTTCAAATCTAACCATATTGGTTTAGCACACTATGTTTCAAGAGTTCCCCACCACATACAAGATAAGGTTCAAACTCTTCAATGGCACAGAAAGCCCTACATGGTCCAGTCTCTGCTTACTATTCCAAGCTCATTTTCCTATTACTTCCCACAAGCACCTTTCACCCTAGACATACAATACCTGCAGTTCATCCAAACACACAACTCTTTCTCATGTACATATGGTTTCCTGTATCTTATAAAAGGTCCATCCCTATTCCCCTACCTCCTCTCTCTGTCACCATACTGCCTTATCCACCTTTTTTTTAAGATGGGGGTCTCACTTTGTTGCCCAAGCTGAAGTGCAATGGGGCAATCTCAGCTCACTGCAGCCTCTACCTCGAAGGTTCAAGTAATTCTCCT